CAATAGAATAAGTGATCTGCAACCCATTCCAACACTTGATTAATGAAGTGAAAAGGGAAGTGAACTTTACGGGTGCAAGCATTTCGGTTCCTATAATCTATATATATTTTCCACTCGATCACCACTGGGGTAGGAATCAACTCATTGCTCTAATTGGATACCATAGCAACCCTCAACTTCTTTGGTACTACTTGTGTGGGATTGACCAATTTATAATCAATAACTAGAAAGATAATTCCCACATCAAGTAGCTTCAGGCCCATATTCAATCTTTTTTGTGGTTTTTGAGATGGTTTAGCTTCATCCTCCAAGTAGATTTGGTGTGTGCAAATAAGGAGGTTGATCCCCTTAAGGTCGGCGATGGTCCCACCAATGGCTCCCTTGTGAGCTCTCAAAACACGTAACAACTTCTCTTCATTCTCTAGTTCTAATGATGAACTGAGCGACACTGGAAAGGTGTCCTAACTACTCAAGTATGGATACTTTAGTGTAGATGGAAGTGGCCTCAACTCTAATTTAGGTGGCTAAATAATAGATAGAAAAATATTCTTCTCTATGGGTGGCAAATTATCAAACTTTGGCGACCAACTGCCTATTTCACACACTTCCTCCAAACGGAGACTTTCTTCTAAAACAACTTCCTTGTTTTCATCATCTAAATTAGATACGTGTTGCTCTATGCTGGTGTCAATTACATTTAACTCGTGAATTTCTCCATCAACACCTGGCTGTTTGCCAACATTGAACACATTTACGTCCAGCTTTATGTTCCCAAATGTGAGATTAAAGACATCGTTCTTGCAATTGATAATGGAATTAGAAGTAGTAAGAAAGGGTCTTCCTAAGATCACTGGGATATGAACAGTAAAATTAGCAACATGTTGTATATAAAATATAATAAAATCAATAGGGAAGTAAAATCTAGCCACATGAACGAATACATACTCCATTATCCCTCTCGACATCTTCACACTTTGGTCTGAATGTTGTAGAGTAATGGACATTGGCTTTAACTCCCCAATCCAAGCTACTTGTATATTGACAGTGGTAGGAGGTTGACACTCCCACCTAAGTCCAACAGTGCTTGCTCCACCCTGGAAATCCCCAATGACAATAAAAATGGCGGGACAATCATGATCTTTGTACTTGGGTGGAGTATTAGTTTACAAGATAGAACTTATTTGCTCTGTCATGAACTCTTTCTTTTGAACATTTAACTTATTTTTTACGGCACAAAGGTGCTTCAAATATTTTGCATAAGATGGCACATGTTGAATAACATCAAGTAAAGGAATATTAACCTTTACCTACTTAAACAAGTCAAGAATTTCAACATTGATAGTTTGTTTAGCAAGCATTCTCAATCTACGGGGGTAAAAAATAGGAATAGGATATTTAATTTCATTAGACTTGACCACTTCTAGAAGCTCAAGTGTTTCATTCTCCTTAGAGGTACCCTGAGTCTCTTTTTTTGTAGGTTTAGAAACTTTAGGTAGAATGGTCTTGTCAACCACTTTCCCACTTCAAAGCCTAGTGATTGATGTGAGTTGCTATTTGTGACATTAGAGGCCTCGATAACATGTGAACCTTTTGAATTTTCTTAGGGCTGTGCTGGGAATTTTACTTTCTCTTGCTAAAGCACACCCATTGAATTGGTCAACTTGGTCATCTGAGTTATAATGTAATTGAAAGCTTGGGCATATTGATTATTAAAGGTGGGTTGACTTTGGATAAATTGATGCATGAGGTCCTCTAAACTTCTTTTATGTGGGATGATTAACCCTAAATAATGCATTAATGAATTAGGTTTTAGGTTTAATTGTGTGCGTAAATTAGGTAAAAGTGATTAAGTAATAAAGTATTAGGGTTAATGCGCAGTTTGCACATATTGCAAGGTTTCAAGCATAAATACGAAAGTTTAAGAGGATCAAAGTGCAGAGGCTAAACAAAGAAAGGGATGCAAGTGTAATTACAAGTCAACAAAGTCAAACAAGGAGGCTACCAACCAAGGAAAGCCAGAGGATTGCTACTGTCTGAATGGGGGTGGTGGCATCCGGACGGTGCTTAAACTGCCTCACTTCTCTCTCTTCTCCCATTGGTCCATTTTAGGAACAAAGGCCTCCTATTCTGTAGTTTGGGTGTCTAGCACCTTACTCCCTCCTTTCGGTGCCTACAAATAGCCTGCTTCAGCCATTTTTCAGAGAGATTCATTAGAGTTCAGTCCAGTGCAATAGGGAAGAAAATAGAGAAAGTGTGAAGCCCTACCCTAATCTCTTCTCAGCCATAATTTTATCTACTTCTACAGTTTTGTTTATCCTTCTACTTGGAAGGTTGAACATCTCCCACTTTTGTGCCCTAGCTAGTAATAAGAGTGATAGTGTTTCTACTATTCCTTGAGAAAGGACGTTGTTGTATTTTATTTTCGGTTGTAATAGGATTATTTCACTCCTATAGCACATCTATAGCAATGTGGCATGAGTAGTCTATTAATACTCTTCGATGAAGAGTGAATGCATGTATGATATTGTTTAAGTTATGAAAATACCGATGTTTTGTTTATACATTAATGTTTATACCTCCCTCAATTGATGGATGATTACTATTATAATATGCTCATGGATATGAACACCGAGTAGATCTTAATGTTATACACCACTCTATCTATAATAATTATGTACTCCATGCATGATACGATAATGCATTCAGTTAGGCTTTATGTAAAGTCGGGACATTGGTTATAGGCAGGTTAAATCTCGTCATAGCTAATGCTTTTGATTCAATGCATAAACTGGAACTCCAACATCATTGAATCATCAACCTATCGATTGAATAGCTAGAGTAAGCCTTTTGAATGGTTCACCTTTAGGTTTACTAGGGTTATTTGATTGTTGCATGGTACATAAACCTTCCGGCTAACCTAACCAGTTGTTGTGATATGGTTCAGTTATACGTCAAACCTACTGGTTAGCTTTCTAGTAAAATGGGAGTTAATTGTTGTAAGGTAGCAATTTCATAAATAAACAATATAATGCATGTTGGATCCTTGAACTTAAGAGTACCTTTTTTTCTTTGTTATTCAAAGTTTTAGATAAGTGTTTATTTTATAATTCTAAGCTCATACCATGATTAGCACAAAATATTGCACATTATGTATGCTTTTATACTTGCTTTTTTGGTGGAAATGAGAAGAAATACAATTAATCAAACGATTAATGAAGTTGTGTGATTGTAGGTAAAGAGTTGGATATGGCTTGAGTTAAGCCTCTATCGTAATGCTCAAAGTCAATGGAGATGGGGGTGGGCTTAACGAGAGGCTTGGAAGATGAAGAAATCAAGAAAAAGGCAAAACATGAGAAAACCTTCCAGAAGGTTTGGTCATAAACCTTCTGGAAGGTTTTGCACACTGGAGTTGGACCTACCTCAAACCTTTTGGAAGGTTTTGCACACTGGAGTTGGATCTACCGCAAACCTTTTGGAAAGTTTTGGCATATTTGACAACTTTTACCTCTACCCTTGCCAAAACCTTCCGGAAGGTTTTGCTTCGACCTTCCAGAAGGATTTGCTGAAAAATGTCAGATTCTGAATCTCAAGCTCTACCACTTGGGGGTTCTCACTATTGCTTCTCCCACACATTCCTGACATGTTACACATTAGGGTTAGATTTTGGAGGCCAATACATTTATGAGAAAGAGAGAGAAGGAGGGAGCCTAAGGAGTTGCAAGCTAGACTTGTCCTAGCTTGTCCAAGCCATCAGCTCACCTCCTATTGATGGGAGGCCTGCACACATAGGCTATAGGAGGCTCATGGAAAATTCAAGGGAGACACACCATTGTGTACCATTATTCAGCATTTAAGAGAGAGAAGCTCAAGGAAGAAGACATAGTTTAGAGAGACAAAATTTGGATTTTTGCATTTTCTTACCCATTTCACTTGTAGTAAGCTATAAGACTTTTGTAATCTTCATTTAATACACTTTAATGTCATTTATTTCAAATGTATTGAAAGTTTAGTCATGTATCTTTAAATCTACCATTGTTACAAATGGGTTTTAAATACACTTATCTTTGTAGTTAACTTCTCTTTACATTAATACAAGTTTTAATCTCCATTTCATTACCATTTCTCTTTCTACATTGTATGTCTTTGCATTTAATATAAGTAGCTAAGTTTTATGTTGGCTAATTCAAGGGAGATTTTCTCTTGGGTATGCTAAATCAACTCTCCTCCATTCTCCCTCGTAGTGTAAGGTGTTCGGTTCGACTAGGTTGAGTGTCGACGTGGTTGTGAGCTCTTGATACACCATAGACTTGTCATTGGGTATGTTTGAGCCTACACCTCCATTTTTGTCATTCACTTCCTACGAATCAATTGAACACCTAGACACCATTGGAAGAATGTTTTGACTTGATTTGACACTCCCATTGGAATGACTTATTCGAATTAGCCAAACTTGTTTCCATTGCATTTTTAGCAAAGGCTCCACTCATTAAAACAAAAACTCACAAGATTTTTACACTTTTCATTTTTCACAAAATCACCTTCACCAAAATTCGACCTTCCTTCCCTAAGGAAAAGACCATTTACTCACATCCATTCTCTCTCTCTCTTTCTCTTAAAAAATAAAAAACAAAGTATCCCATCCTCCTCTCTTACTTAAAAAAAATTAAAAATAATTTTTGGTTTTTTAAAAATAATACTAAAAATAAAAAAATCTCATTTAGTATTACCATTTTAGGCCTCAAATTACCTTGATCTGCCCCCTGTCTACAACTCCACATGAATCTCTTTCTGCAATAACAATGCTAAACCACCTAAATTCCCTTGTGACTCTACAACCACTCCACACAAGCCAACACATCATTTTCAAAAAAATCAATTCTCCTAGCATTACACTTTGTCTCCGAAAGGAACAAAATTAGGCCGCTCTTTCTTTACAAAATCGCATAGATCATGAATTGTCCATGGATGCCTGAGTCCCTGGTAGTTCCAACTAAGGATTTTCATGATGATTGGTGGGACTGGAGACCAGTTCCCACTGCTACATCTTCCATCTCTACCAAGTTCAAAGCACTTAAGTCTGGTCTCACCTTAGCTTTTTTCTTTGCACTCACGTCCAAACCTGAACCCAGAGCTTCTTTTCTTTCTCTATACTTTCGTTTGCCATTGGGATCCTTCTGGGATTTTGTTTGAACAAATGATGAAAGACCCTTCTCCTTTCTTCTCCATTTCTTCATGGCTGTTGGTTCTTGTTTGAGAACGCTTTCTTCGTCAACCCCTATTTCCCCTAATTTAGGTAAACTCCTGGGTTGGGCTAGGGAAGAAATGGGGATATCCATAAAGTCTTTAACAGCCCATTGGGCCATCATGTCATTTGTGGAAATAGGTTGGCTACCCCATTCTTCTAAGGCCCCACCCTCTACATCCACCAACTTAGGGCCCTCATTTACAACTCGTGTCCCTTTAAAGCTATTTCCTGTCTCATTTGGAATATTATCCTCAATTATTACAACTGGAGAACCTTTATTCACTGAGATTGTGTCTTCAACTTTCTTAAACTTTCCATCATCAATTATCTCGCTTTCTTTGGATAAAGAATTTGGCCTGTTATTTGAAGGCTCAATTAGTTCCCTTATCATTTCTCTTCCCATATTCTGCCCCTAATTATACTCTTTGTAATGGAAATTCCTTTAACTTTGTAGATTGATCCATTTACACCCATATTACTCGGGTCATTCACCGCTGCCCCATTTTTGTGAATCTTCTCCAGTGATTCTTGTTCGCTAGCTAGAATAATTCCACTACTTTTCACCGCCAACAAATTGTCCTCACCGGCCCTTAGGCCTATTATATTCTTCAAACTTCTACCTAATGGAGCCTTCAACCATGCCCCAAACTACATCGACCCTTTCATAACTGAGATTGTTGAATCCAATCTTAACGAACATTCTCTTTCCCTGTGACCAAACCATCCACAATAGTAACAAATATGAGGCAATCTTTTCATACTTAAAAAACACCGTAAAACTTAAGCCCCCTTATCCTTTTAAGATTCATACCTCTAGGGAGAGGTTTCTCAATATTAATGTTCACCTGAACTCTCAAACATCTCCCCCATCCTACTCCTTTTATCAAATTCATTTCCAAATAGCATCCTATCTTATTGCCTATAATTTTCGCAGTTTCTTGAGTCGTTTTATTGAATGGCAAGTTATAGATTTGGACCTAGAAAGGGCACCCACTAAACGATACATTAGACACCTGAATCGTACCATCATATCCCTTCAACATAACTAATTGGTTATCAAATGACCATGGCATACCTTCAAGAATTCTATTCTTGTCCAGCATGTTATTGAACTGAATAAGGAACAAATTGTCACCAGTCTCTATAAATTCCACTTTAGTTTTGAAAGCCGTCTAATTGTAAAACCTTACGGACATAACTTTACCAAATACACATAATTTGCCTTTCTCCCCAAGATCACCATATCCCTGATCTAGAAGATTAACTCCAAGATTCTCCTCCTCCAAAAGTGTAAAAATTCTCCACAGCTGTTGCATCTCCTCGTCCATTATAGTATCTAGTAAACAACACACCTCAAAGGCAGAATCGTTCCAACAAGCCAGCCGCACTGAATCAGACAGAATGTTTCAAGACTTGCACACAAGAATAGATAAACAAGATAAAAGCATAACCAATATGATGACCTCTATAAGAAACTTCCTATGTTGACACAAATGGGCAAGAGAAAGATTGTTACTCTAACAACCGACCCCTAAAGATGACTAGAAAAGAACCCTTAAAACAAAAAACTTCTATTAGTTTGACCTAAGGAAGACAACGACTCTATAAAACAGAGAGAAAAACTCTACCCTTAGTGAGAGAGAGACTTCTGTATTATGTTAGGTGGTTCTTTGAGTTAATTTGGAAGAGTGTTTAAAGCAATAACAATCACTTGTTATTGAATGATCATGATTAGAGATTGTTCAATTAGTCAAAAATCGAATTTATATCTTCCATCCCTTATTTCATACATACATTATTAATCTACATGTATGTACCTGGTGATTTAACTAGACTGACACTTGCATTAGTCACTTTAACACTTTGATTTTGTACTCAACAAGGAAAATCACAATACATTTAACGGTTGTCTTTATTAACTATAAGAATTAATGCATTCTAATCATCTACAACTTTCTATCAAAATGTATTTACATTAATCTAAAAATTTTTATTATCCGATAAAAATGGGCTCGCACGCAGATTTCTACTAGTTTTACTTGAAAAAAGGGGATCTTATACCGGCGGAGGTATCAGTTCTCATCGTAAAATCCGAACATTTCATTTAGGTAACTCCATCCACGACGGTAACAAGGAAAAAATGAAGAAAAGAAACTCTCCGTGGCGGTAAAGAATTCAACGGTTGGTTCGGAAAAATGAATATTAATTCACACTCGTCCTCTTCATCTTCACTCAAACACGGGCAAACGACACGCACAACCCACCTCCCCCCCTGATCTTTCAGTTTGGTCTAGGGCTTAGGGCAAACAACAATGGCGGAAATAGGGAAGACAGTGCTCGACACAGGGTGGTTGGCAGCACGATCCACTGAGATCGACCTCAGCGGAGTACAGCTCACCACCACTCACCCTCCCACTGGGCCCACTTCTCCATGGATGGAAGCTGTTGTCCCCGGAACGTAATCTTTCTCTATTTCTGTCTCTTCCCTTTCAATTGCCGTAAAAACTGTAACGAATTTTGTGAATTTTTCACTTGAACTTCTCAGTATAAATTCTATTCTTTGTTTGTTGGAATTCATTCTTCTGAAATTCAGAAATTGGAAAACAAAATTTATTGACCGGTTGGAAATTATTTAGTGGACAATTCATTGACCGCTTCATTGGCAGTGTTTTGGCGACCCTGGTAAAGAACAAAGTCGTTCCAGATCCTTTCTATGGGTTGGAAAATGAGGCAATTATAGACATTGCTGATTCAGGAAGAGAATACTACACATTCTGGTTTTTCACAACTTTTCAGTGTAAGCTGGTATGCAATATACTTTACATAAGTTATGTACTCTTTAACATTTGATTTGGATGTAGAAGAGGTTGATGCGATTGACTCTAATTAGATAGGAATGTGCTTTATTGAGTTGAATTAATTTGATCTATAAAATGTCTGTATTTGTAGTCCAAAATGTCAGATTGTTTATGATGCAGGTTGAATAAGGTGACATGAGATCGCGAGTCAGCTTCCAAATTATATGTGTCCTGATAAATAGCGCTGCATCTGCTAGGGATAAGAAGAAACAGACTCAACAGTGTAGTCATATGTTTTAGAGGTTGATGGTGTTGGTTTCCATATCAGATGGTAGTATATAAAGGTGCTAAAAAAATGAGATGAAGAAAAATAGGTGTAAATTCAAGCTGTGAGAGAAAACAAATAGTCTGTTAGTGGATATATCATGGTTAGGTACAGGGGATGACAAACTCGCACTTCTGTAACTGACCCCAATTTGCAGGTTAAGCTTTGTTGACATGGAGACAATTGGGAAGGGATAACTCATGAGCCTTATAGCCATCATTAACCTAATTTTGATGAAAAATATTTTTTATAATTGGATGATATCTCCATTTGTTTGTGATATATTTGGAGTGTCATATCTCCATTTGTTTCTCTAACATATTTGGACAACCTTGTTGCAAAAGAATCTTTAGTTTTCCTTTATGTTCTGGTTCTCCTCCTACATGTAATGATATATATCTTTATGGAAGTTACTTATTGCGCTGTTAAAGATGATGATATCCAGTTATTTGATGAAATCTAGGCTTTATCATATACCATCTGGACTAGAGTAACCAAAACTAACCTCTCTATTTTCTAGCATGAGATCCAGTGTTGTTTCTATAGAGTATAAGTCAAATATTTCGAATTGGCTAGTATCGTAGCTAGCTCCAGTTTATTGTTATATTTGTTTCATTGTTAAGTCTAATGTATTTAATTAGTCAAGTTCAGAAAACTATACACTTTTATCAAAGAAACCCTTATATAGTAGGACTACATAAAATAAAATAAACGACTAAAATACTCTTGATATTAATATGCTAAAATACTCTAATATCCCCCCTTATTCAAAGTCATGATGTGGTAGCAGAGAGCACCAAGAATCTGCGAAGAAAAAAATGAAAGCATGCTATGATATGGCATTGGTATTGTCACAATACGTTGGGGTAAGAACATATAAAGAGATGTTAATGTCAGCAAGCAACCATCGTAACTAGACTATTTCAGCTGTGGTAGATGTCACAGTACGGTACTCAATTTCAACTGAGTAACGAGTAACAATAGTTTCCTACTTGTTTTTTTTTAGGAAATAAAAGAATTATCACGGAAAAAATAAAAATTAGTGGTAGATTTGCAATCCTTAGGGTCACTAGTCCAGTTAATATCTAAGTAAGCATTGAGGTCCATAGAAGAGGATGAAGGAAATAATAGATTTTGATCCAAAATACCTCGAAGATACCGAAGAATATGAGAAACAGGAGTCTAGTGAATAGTGGCAGGTGAGATAACAAACTGATTAACAACATGAACATTATAAGTGATATTTAGGTTGTTAAGAATAGTAGAATAGTATGTGTAAATTGTTAATAGTAAGAGGATATATATATAATTCTTATTATTGTCGGTTAATTATAAATATAAGTAATGTATGAGAGGTAGGTTAAGTTTTAACCTCTTTCTGTTCTCTCTAATATTGTGTTAATTCTCCACACTTAACATGGTATCAGAGCAATTATGATCATAAATATATTCTTAATAAATTAATTTATTTGTGGTACTGTGGTGGTGCCTGTGTTTGTCGAAGCGTGGTGGTGGTGGTGCTCTGTTTGTCTACTGTTGAGGTGGTGTTGTACTGTTCATCATGGTGGTGTGACTGTGGTTTGTGGTGGCTGTTGTGGTGGTTCATCGTTGGTGGTGAGGTGTGGTCTGTGGTGGTTGTTGTGATCGTGTGGTCTGTGGTGGCTATGTGGTGATTCATCGTCGACGTAGTCTGTGGTGGCTATGGTGGTTCATCGTTGTTGGAGTCGTGGTTTGTGGTGGTTGTTGTGGTGGTTCGTGTAGCGATCGTGGTTGATTGTGGTGGCACAGTCAAAGACTAGGATTACAGTAACCCTATTCGACGAAGAAGGGTCCAGACCCAGAAAAAGGTCTAGAACCAGTTTAGCTCCAACAGATTTAAATTGGTTTAGCCCAGCCCAATTCGATCGAGTCCAACCCATTTTGGTCTAACCCGGTTTAGCCCCAACCAATCCGGTTTAGCTTCAACCAGTCTGGTTCAGACTGGTTTTACTCTGGTTTAGCGGTCCAGAGGGCTAAACCAGTCCGGTTCAGGCTTCCAGTAGCATAAGCAAGGCCGGTTTAGTGATCCAGAGGACTAAACTAGTTCGATTCAGGCTTCCAGTGGCCTTAGCAAGGCCGGTTCAGTAGTCCAAGCTGGTTTTCCAGGCCCGGTTCAAGGCTCGCGCAGCCTTAACAGGTCCGGTTCAGTGGTGTAGGCCAGTTTTTCGGACTGGTTTAGTATTCCAGCAGCCTTAACAGGCCCGGTTCAGCAGTCCAAGCCGGTTTTCCAGTCCGGTTTTGGGCTCCCGTAGCCTTAACAGGCCCGTTTCAGTGGTTGAAGCCGATTTTCCAGACTGGTTCAGTATTCTAGCAGCCTTAACAGGCCCGGTTCAGCGGTTCAACATCCTTTTTTTCTTTTGGTTCGATATTGTAACACTTCTTGTTTGCTATTTACTGCACTGTTATGGAACCCAAGTAAGACACTGGATTGATTACTGTTACTTGAGAGGAGTATATCCAGTTCCTATCTCAGCAACAGGCTGTTCCATCTTCCTCCACTGCTATTTTTGCTCAGTCAGGTATTGTTTCCACTTGTTTATTGTTCTCCAATCGCAATTTCTGGATCATAGACTCTAGCGCTTCTGATCACATTACTAGTGCGTCCGATATTTTTTGTACTTATTAGTCTGCTCGTTCCACACGTAGTGTTACTTTTGCTAATGACACTTGTTCTAAAATTTCAGGTTTGGGGACTACTAACTTGAGTCCTGATATATCCCTATCTTCTGTATTATTTGTTCTCCAGTTTCCTTTTAGTTTACTTTCCATTAGCAAAATTACCCGTTCTCTCAATTGTTTTGTAACTTTTTATCCTTCTTATTGTGTCTTTCAGGATCTTAAGACAAAGAGGAAGGTTGATACAGGGCATGAAGTTGGTGGCCTATATTACTTTGATTTTGATTCACTTACTTGGGCTCTATAGACCTCGTTATCTCCTTTTCAGTGGCATTATCGTCTTGAATATCTCTCTCTTCAGAATCTGAAACACCAAGTTCCCAGTCTTATTTCTGTGTCGTCTTTGTCTTGTGAAGCGTGTCAACTTAGTAAGCATCACTGTGTGTCATTTCAATCTCAAGTTAATAATCGTGTGTCTAGTCCATTTGAGTTGGTACATTCTGATGTATGGGGTCCAATAAAGAATATTTCATCTAATAAATATCCTTATTTTGTGTCATTTATGGATGACTATTCTCGTGTGACTTGGTTGTTTCTGATGAAAGTTCGGTTTGAATTATTCTCTATATTTGAGACCTTTCGTAAGGAAATAAAAACTCAGTATGGTTGTCGTATCCGTATTTTACGTTCTGATAATACTCGGGAATATGAATTCGATCCTTTTTCAGCTTATCTTAATAAAGCTGACATTATTCATCAGACTTCCTGTGCTTACACATCTCCACAGAACGGTGTTGTTGAACGCAAGAACCGTCATTTGTTGGAAGTCACCCATGTCTTATTATTTCAGATGAATATTCCCCGATATTTTTAGAGTGATGTTTTTACTGCTTGTCACCTTATTAATCGTATGCCATCCTCTGTGTTAAATGGGCAAAGTCTATATTCTGTCATTTTTCCTGGTAAACCCTTATTTTTTCCGACTCCTAAAATTTTTGGATGTGTTTGTTATGTTTATAATTTTGGTCCTGGATTTGACATACTTGACCCTCGAGCTACCAAATGTGTATTTCTTGGTTACTCCCGCACGCAGAAGGGGTATCGTTGCTACAGTCCTTCTCTGCACCGATACTTTACTAGTGCCGATATCACGTTCGAAGAATCTATTCCATATTTTTCAGCACCCTCTCAGCCTTTGGATCTGGACTTTGGGTCATCTCTTGTACAATCATCTCTTTTCTCATCTTCAGATATCTTATTGTTTACTGTGTTATCATCTATTTTACCTCTCTGTGTCTATTCTCGCCGTCCTCGCCCATCGACTGAGGTGCCTGTACCATCTTCTTTGCCACCTTCTGATCCTGGTACATCAGGTAATTTAGACTCTTTACCTATTGCTCTTCGCAAAGATACTCGTTTGTGTGTTACTAATTATCCCATTTCTCATTTTGTTTCATTGATGCCTTGTCTCCTGTCTTCTCTTGTTTTACTTCCCAATTATCTGCTATATCTATTCCTAAGCATGTACATGATACATTATCTGATTCGGGTTGGAGGAAAGTTATGGAGGAGGAGATGGATGCCTTACATCATAATGAGACTTGGAATCTCGTTCCTTTACCTCCTAGTAAACAAACTGTTGGCTGTCGTTAGGTGTGTACTGTTAAATTTCATCCAGATAGTTTTGTGGAGCGTCTCAAAGCCCAGCTTGTTGCAAAGGGCTTTACTCAGACTTATGATGTTAATTATGAGAAAACTTTTTCTCCTGTTGCCAAAAGTATATTGATTTCTTTGGTTGCAAATCTTGATTGGTCCTTGTTTCAGTTAGACGTCAAGAATGCCTTCTTGCTTGGTCACTTGGTTGAAGAGGTATATATGGAGCAACCACCTGAGTTTACTGCTTAGGGGGAGTATGGTAAGAATGTATGTCGGTTAAAGAAATCTTTGTATGGTTTGAAACAGTCACTGAGGGCATGGTTTGGTAAGTTTTCAGATACAGTTTTAGAGTTTGGTCTTTTTCGATGTTAGACAGACCATTCTGTGTTTTATAGACAGACAGATGCTGGATATATCCTATTGGTGGTCTATGTAGATGATATTATTGGAAATGATTCTGAGGGGATTGCCAAGTTAAAAAACATTCTTACAGGATCGATTTCATACTAAGGATTTAGGAAAATTTAAGTATTTCTTGGGTATTGAAGTGACTCGATCTAAACAGGGTATTTGTTTATCCTAGAAAAAATATGTACTTGACATACTTGAGGAAGCAGGTTTGCTCGGTGGCAGAGCTATTGATGTTCCTATGGATTCGAATCAGAAACTTTTGATGGATGATGGTGCACTATTTGAGAATTCAGGTCGGTATCGCAGATTGGTTGGGAAACTCAATTATTTCACTATTATCTGACCGAATATTTCCTATGCAGTCAGTATAGTAAGTCAGTTTATGGGGTGTCCTAGAGTACCACATTGGGATGTAGTTACTCGTATTCTGCGATATCTCAAACGTGCTCCTAGACTTGGACTGTTATATCGAGCTAATGGACATCTTAGAGTGGAAGGTTTCTCAGATGCTGATTGGACTGGTTCTCCTTCTGATCGGAGATTAATCACTGGTTATTGTACTTTCTTAGGAGGTAATGTTATCTCATGGAAAAGCAAGAAACAATCCGTTGTAGTAAGATCTAGTGCTGAGGCCAAGTATAGGGAAATGACGCATACGACGAGTGAGTTGACTTGGCTATTATATTTCCTCCAGAAAATTGGGTTTCCAGTTTAACTTCTTTTACAGTTGTTCTGTGACAATCAAACAGCTATTCATATCGCTGCCAATCCTGTGTGTTACAAGAGAACCAAACATATTGAGATTGATTGTCACTTTGTTCGGGACAAGATAGTAGCTGGGGAGATTACAACTCCATTTGTGAAATCTGAAGATCAGCTTGCAGATATATTTGTCAAAGCATTGAGCCGTACACGTCTTATAGTTATTTGTTCCAAGCTTGGATTATATGATATATATAGTCTAGCTTGAGGGGGAGTGTTAAGAATAGTAGGGTAGTATGTGTAAATTGTTAATAGTAAGAGGATGTATATGTAATTCTTATTATTGTAGGTTAACTATAAATATAAGTGATGTATGAGAGGTAGACTAAGTTTTAATCTCTCTTTGTTCTCTCTAATATTGTGTTAATTTTTCACACTTAATAGGTGAGTAATTATGAAATATACCAAACTCTTAATAATAGTGCGGTAGAGAGTAGGATTTGGTAAGAGAGTAGGATAGGATTAGGCAAGAGAATACCATTCGAGAAAAAATAACGAATATTGAGGTCTAAAGGTTTCTCAACTGTCCGATTGTTTGATAAACAAGCTTATTGAATAACATTTGATGTATACTCGGATTGAGAGAAAAAATAACCTTTGGTTGAGTAAGCAACCTCAATTCTCAAGAAATATCGGAGTTGATCCAAATCTTTTGTCTCAAAATGATGTTGCAACAGATTTTTCAATAGTTATATGCCAATAGTGTCATCACCTATAATAATCATAGTATCAATAAAAAGTAAAAAAAAATGAACTTAAGGAAGTGGACTGCAAATACAGCAGAATCATAATTACTGACATGAAAATCCAAGTCACTTATGACTAAAGAAAACTTGGCAAATCATGCGTTGGGAGCCTGTTTAAGATCATATAATGCTTTGCCGAGTTTGCACACCTAACGAAGTGGAAGTGATCGAAAAGGAATTTGATAAGTTTAAATTGAAGAATTGAATTGTATTAGTTGTTTTAATATTATTATATTAGTTAAGGAAATATTGATTTGACTAGTAGTATTATTAGAGTTTGACTTGAGAATTATTATAGAGTTTTAGTATGATAAGAATTTGAGAGTTCATTATGAAACTCTTTTAGTATTTTAGTAGGAGAATAAGTTTTATTTTAGTAGAGAGTGATATTAATAAAAGTGTTTCTCCGCGGAGACTTTGTGTATTTCTTGACCAATTCCTTACAAGGATGAGGTAAATCCCTTCCACTCTGTTTTCTTTTCATATTTTCTGATTTCTTATTCTTTTCGTCCTACATCAATTTGGTATAAGCCTAATCTTGGATCTAAATTTTTGTTTGCTTTTCTCAATTTCTAGCCGCTGCTAGTCCCCTTGTTCTTGCTACCCACTAGAAACATTCAAATCAACAGCTATTGCCCAGGTTACATAGTTGGAGACGAACCAGAAAACTCAAACCAGACCGTTCTTGAAGAAGACAACCAAGTCTTTGTCGTTTGCTGCCGTTGCCATCTTCTAGTCTTCTTTAAAGACACTTTCACATTCCAAATATTCAATGATAGATAAATTAATGGAAGCAAAGGATTATCAATTAAAGATTTAAAAAACGTTTTACAATAAAAGACCCTTGTTGAATTATTAATCCAACACCTTTTATCAATAGAATTTTGAACTTAAGTGACACTATTAAGCATAGATAGAAGAATCGTCAACTCCAAAAAATCCTTATCACTAAGGTTCCTACGAAATCCTAAATTCCAAAAGATCATATTAGAATATGTACGAACCATAGATGCAACCAAAGTATCATGATACCCAGAAACACAATATAACATTGGAAAGAGATTAGCGAAAGAAGACTCCCTAACCCCAGTGTCCTCCCAAAGCCGCAACCGGTTCCATTTCATTCGATGAACTTGACCCTCTGATAAAAACAAGGAAGCAATCCCATTAGCATCCCACTCATTAGCCTGTAACACATAATTGTTCCTAATAAGGGCATGCCACAATTAATCTTGTTCCAAGGGAAACCTCCAGAGCCATTTTTCAGCCAATACTATATTTCTTTTCACCAGATTCCCCACTGACAATCCTCCCCAGTCTTTGCCCACTTAATTAAATGGTCCTTCCTACCCATCCCTACTTCTTCCCATAAAGAAATCATTATTAAACCTTCAATTTTCCTGGCCAACAACCCTCCTGGGGGCATTTTAAAAAGAGGCATGAAGTAAATTGGAATACTAGACAAAACTTACGGAATCAAATTTGATTTCCCCCCAAGAAATAAAAGATATTTTCCAACCTTCTAATCTCCTCCCAACCTTCTCAATTACAGGAACCTCAAAATTATTCAACATTGAATTACTACCTAATAGAAGTCCCAAATATTTCAATGACCACTCTCACTCTAAACATCCCAACTCTATAGCCACCCCGTTCACCTTCTCCTCCCTAGAATTAATACCTACTATTATACTTTTTTCTATATTAGTCTTAAGCCTAGAAATTCACCAAATATGTTAACAATCAACTTTAAATTTTTTAAATTTTGTTCATCTCTGAAGAAAAGAAAATAGTATCATCTGTAAATTGCAAATGAGATACTATTATCCTTTCCCTCCCTATCACAAAACCTTTAGCCAAATTACTTCCCTCAGCCTTTTCCATCAATTTATTTAAACAATCCACCACCAAAGTGAACAAAAATGGAGGAAGAGGATCCCTTTGTCTAAGTCTCCTATATGCTTGAAATCTTCCCCTTGGTTTCCTATTCTTAATCATCAAAAAATTCATCATCTCTAAATAACCCCTAATCTCCTTCCTCCAAAACCCTTAGCATCCATCGCAAAATCCAGAAAATTCCAATCCACATGATTGTAAGCTTTCTTAGAATCAATCTTAAACACAAAACCCCTTTTCTTTTAATCCTATACTCTTCCACCACCTCATTAGCTGCAAAGGCTATATCAATAATCTGTCTCCCCCTCACAAAAACCCTTTGACTTTTTTGAACTTGTTTCACCGACTCCTTAAGTCCAATAGAAAGGACCTTAGCAATGAATTTATAAAAACTAGTAACGAAACTATTAGGTTTGAAATCCTTCTACTTAATAGACTGTCTTTTTCTTTGGGATAAGACATAAATATAGCATTTGTAACTCTATTAATAATACCTTATGGAAAAATTCCTCAAACACCAACATCAAATCATCCTTTATTTCAGCCCAACATACCTGATACACATAGTGAATTCATCCGAGCCTCAAGTTTGTAGCCTTTTCTCTGCTACACTACAAAACATCTCTCCTTACTTCCTTCATCTCAAAGAGTCTTTCCATCCACTTTGCAATCCTACCATCAATAGGACTCCACTTAAGCCCCCTTAAAATGGGTCTTGGACCACCATAATCCGAGTATAACTTGGCAAAAAACCTAATAATCTCACTCTCAATGATACCCTTATCCTTAATAATTGACTTATCATTAAGCTCCAACTTATCAATAAGCTTCCTCATCCTATTTCATTCAGAATCCTATGAATTTTTTTTTATTTTTTTTATTTTTGTACTATTATCTCCTTCTTTCATCCATTTAACCCTTGATTTTTATCTTAAACTTATCTCTTCTTTAAACACCACCTCCTCAAATTTATTCTTAAGCTATCTTCTTTCTCTCTTCATCCCTTCATCCATATCCCCCCTTCAATTTTATCCACTTCGTCATTCCTTTCCGAAATGAGTCTTTTTGCTTCTTGAATATCCCCAAACACCTCCTTGTTCCACACCTTCAATCTTTGTTTATCTCCTCAAATTTCATCAAAAATCTAAATCCTTGCCACCCTTGGAACCCCCTCCTCCCCCCACCACTCTCTAATCATCTCTCTAAGCTCCCTATATTCCACTCACATATTTTTAAACCTAAACGGATGAAGGCCCCGTCTAAACTTAGAATCAGTAAGAACAATAGGACAATTATCTGATACTACTCTAGACAATGCCTCTTGTCCAACCACAGGATAACAATCCTTCCATCCTACATAGAAAAAAAATCTATCCAATTTTGTACCTACTGTTGTACTCTTGCTATTAGATTGTGTAAACACACCATTGGCCAAAGGAGGATCCCTGAGTTCAGTCTCCCTAATAAAAGTATCAAAATCCCCAACACTTGGTTATTGTTCTCCTCCCATTTAGCTTCTCCCTCGGATATCTTATGACATTAAAATCTCCCCCAATGTACCATCTTGGACCACAAACTCCAAATAGACCTGCTAACTCTTCCCAGAAGGGGATCCAAAACCTAAGTTTATTAGGTCCATAAATCTCAGTGAGCCACCAATCAAAACCCTACGTATGTTTAACTCAAATCGAAACAGTAAATTCCCCCTCAAAAGATTTTTCCACAACTGCATACCTCTCATCCTATGTAACAGCAATACCATTTGGGCTCCTGCCAGAAGTAAAAAAAAGCCCAATTACTAAACCTAGACCCCCACACACTATTAATGACTCTCCCATCAATGACTTCCACCTTGGCTACATGCAAAATTACAACACCGGGCCTAATTCTTCCCAAAAATTCTCTAACTAAACTTCTCTTCCTCCACAATTCGAACCCCCAACCATTACAACTAACAATCTTCATAACAAACAATCACACCCTCCCCATTTCTCAACAACTACCACCCTCATAATTGATCCTTGACTGTAAATTTTTGAACTCTCTCACACCCTTCCTCTTCCTCTCACTTCTACCTTCATTTTTTTGCTTTCCTCTTTTCTTTGATGGAACTAAAGATAAACCCATTTTATGTAGAAAATTCTTTAGCACTACCCATTTTTCCTCATCCGACAAGAAACAAACCATTCAGATCCCTATCATCCTCCCTTATCTCTGTCCCCTCCTTACTCACTTCCCTCAAAACTCACCATAACCCTAGTTGTCACAGCATCTGAATTTCCTGAAACAAGATTAACAATGGAACATCTTTTATCATTAGTCAACATAAGATCACAAACCCTACTTGGTGAACCAGCTAACCGGCCTGAAACTGGATCTTCCAGACTCCGAAAATGTAGTCTCCCCATGGACCACCCCACCTCCACCAAAGAAAGCCATCATTGAATTTTTGTGGGATATATTACCTTCTGAAGTGCAAGGATGAGCATTAAAAATTGCCTCAGAAGTCTGAAGAAGTGCTTTCTAAGCTTCAGCTTGTGCAATCTTCATCTCATTGTCAGCAAAAATTTTCACTACATCTCCATAAACTTCATCAATCTGTACCCCTTGCTCATGATCAATGTCGTGTCAATATAACCAATCCTTCGAACTCCTTTCTGACACCTCACTTTCATACCATTCCTTTGCAACTATCGCAACATCACAGTTACCTTCCTCCACTTCTACGACCAATTTCCTCTGCAATTCCTCATCCAAACTATTGAGACCTGTTTCAAAATCCTCCCTCTGACTGTCCCAAATTATCGCATATCTCATCTTCTTGTGTATCCTTTGTCCATGTGTCCTTTGCCCTTTGTCTTCTCTCTTTTATGCAGATGGAGGGGACTCTCAGACTTAGCACAGTCGCCTCACAACATCTGTAACAGTGGGCATTGCCATTCGGTTATCGACAGTAGGAGGAGCCTTAGCTTCAGTCGAATCCACCTGGGCAGGCAAATGATGTTGGGCCAAGCTCTCAGCCCTTTTAAAGTCCATTACACTTTTGAATCTAAAAGGGCCCACTTTAACAGGCCCTTTGTTGGAATCTCTTATCTGGAAGCCACTTGACCCTATTTTCTCAACCCACTTCCCATCATTAACCTTGCCCATTTTAGCACAGCCCACCTTTTGGTCCAACCTCTTAAATTATTGCTAATTAACCCACGTTTAAAATCCAATCTATGTTCAAATTTCAAATTTTCCGTCATAATCCTCTTTCCTCAGTAAATAGTTGGACTTGTTGCACTAAATACTAATTATGTTATCAGATGTCTTCTCAACTAAAACCAAATCTGTATAGTTATTGAAACCCGGTGCACTGAAACCCTCCTCCTCCTGTCTACTCCTATTGCCACGTAATCCATCTTGCCTTTCTGGGTTGTCTTCCTCCTCTTGCCCAATGCACAAAAATTTCATCCTACCTCCCCCCCACAACATCTCTCTCTCTCTCTTTAACTAATTTTCCCCGTGTTCGAGACAACCTTAGCCCTAATAATGTAGGATCTACCATTAAAATCCACATTAAATGAAGTCTTGAGAAGACCGGATTTAGGTTTAAGAACTCTTATTCGAGCTTCATACAAATTTTCAAGATTCTCGGTTCTCCAATCAACATAAATAAATCCCCCACAGCAATCTCCAATCTTATTGAAGACTTCCTGCTTCCGCAGTTGAAACAGTAACCCTTTGACTGCTATCTATTCTCCCAAAAATGACACTCAGCTCTGAACTACATTATAATCAAGACTCCATTATCGAAGCTTCACCGTGCACAAATCAGCAATTTGGATATTTTCATCCTTACAAATCCTCTCTGAATGAAATATATCTTCACAAAAGAAAATAGCTTTATCCACTTGAAGGGCCTGCAAACATATCTTCATCTTCAAAGCCTTCTCCAAATAATTCTAAATTACATCTTAAGAGACGAAAAGACTTTCCTTTACACATACCACAACACATCTCCATCTTTCCTCTTCTTTGATCAGTGCTCATCCCACTTGAGGCTCACTATGTTGTTTACTTTGAGGGCCTATTTGGTATGTTTTTTGGAAGGGGTTTGGATTGACTTGTCCAAACCCTTCCAAATCCAAAGATGGGATTCAACATTTAATATTGTCCATATTCATGTTTGGTATGCGCGGGATATATGACTATTATGATAATATATTTGTATATAAATGACTATTGTGCCCTTAGAGATGTGTGAATAGGTAATATGAGGTATATAGGATATATCAGGGTATAAATGTTATTTGAATGTTAAACACATTAACCCACATATGAAACCCACCCCCCTTGGGTTTCATGACCGGGTTGGGTTTCAAATCCTAGACTAGCTGTGTATTTGCCAAACATGGGTTTAAGGGGGGTTTATTCCCCAACCCATGTTCCAACACCCCCCCCACCCCCCCCCCCGGTCCCCCAAAAAAAAAAAACCCACATACCAAACAGCCCAGAGAGTACCAGCCCAACCCCAGTTTCCCTTCTCGAATGTATTAGATTTTTTTTTTCTATCTTTTTTATACTTATGTATTAGATTTAGGTACCTCATTCAGACTCCTATTTTCCTTTCCCTCAACTAAATAATATCTTCCTTCTGAACGGGCCTCCACCATCATTCCTCTAAAAGCCTTCCACCCTTTACCTTGAAAGCCTTTGGGAATGATTAAGCCTCTTCTTCTGCCGTTATTCATCATTTGAGTAATCCTAGCATATGCCCCAAATCTGCTATTTTTCAACTCAATCCATATACAATAACCATCCTTCCTTGTTTCCTAAAGAAAACATCTCTTCCATTCCAATATGAAGTGGCGATAATCATTGTCACTCCCCAATTTCCATAATAGGCATGAACTAATCATCATCCATCAAAACATGAGAGCATAACTAAAATAAACCATCCAATGAAACAAAACATCAATGTTCAACATAATCTAACTAAATCCCCAAAGGATAAAACCATAATCCTAGTTTACATCAAAAAATTCCAAATGAATGAGACAATACCATAACTAGCTAAATAAATATTAATATTTAGTCTTTCCTTTGACAATCTTCAAAACAAACTAGCATAAATGTTAACTCTCCAACACAATGCCTCAAGCTTTGGATCCACTTCATGATCTGTTTCCATGTCCCAATTTACCTCTTTACATATGTCTGTATCCTCCTCAGCACCAAAATTTAAAAAATGTTTTATGAAGGGGTAAGCAAAGCAACCTCAGTAGAAAAACTTTTCCAAACCTAAACAAGATTTATAAAATTGATAAAACAAGAAGGTGCCAATTTTACAAAATAACATATATAGTTTTGGAGATAAAAATTGACATTATAACGATTTCAAATTTCGGTATATCAATAGACACGAATCCATATTCATGAATAAGTAGAACCAATTTCTAAAGCAAATGATCATAATAAGCATATCTCATGTATGTATTGAATAGCATGCATCCACACACTGAATATATCTGGCCCAAACACACCTAAATCATCTAACTAATCCTCGCAAAGATATATTGTTTTAAGGAAATGCATATATCGACGCATTGACATTTACGAAACTTACGAGGAATAGTATTTACTAACCCTCCACCTCGATCCACATGAGCAAATAGTGTGAATTGTTGAACCTTGGCAAGGACCCATGCAACTCCACTATGAGTGATTGAGAACTTTTAAACCTCTTAAGGTAATAAACTCATCTAAGCACTTGGCAATACAAGTTCAAGTTTAATACACGTTCATCACACTTACCCATACAAGAGATAATTTTCATAATTTTTCATAAAATCCATGTATATCACGAATCATAATTCCACAATTGTCGAAATATAATAACTTTAAGAAAACATACAAGAGATCGCCAAGAAACATATTCAATTGACTGTAATCAAGAATAAGGATTTTTGAATCAAGAACAAATAAATCTTGGATATAAATCATGAATTTTATTCAAGAACGCTTCATAAGATTGAAAAGATACTAAAACCAGTTGTAACTATCATATATTAGGATTCCTAACCTCAATGAATAGGAATGGGGAAGAAACCATACCTTAATTCGTAGCCAATGATTCTAAAGCACTTTAATGCGATTCCTATGCGTTACTCCTCAATATCTTGCCATTTTTCTTCTCTCCCAACTTCTCTTAGCTTCCTAGGGTTGAAAAATTGGTAAAGGAACTTCAGATCGTAGTTCTAAGGTATTTAGCGAGGTGTTCGAATGGTTATGGGGCGTTTGAACCCCAACTTATTGTTTTTCTTTTATTTTGGTCAAATGCACAATTTTATTTTTTGACAGGCATCTGAACGCTTCTTGGGACGTCTAAAAGTTGGTGAATTTGTATCCCAGACTTCCGATTCGATTTTGACCTAGTTAGAAGTTGATTCACAAAAATTTCATAAAATTACGCTTTTATAGCTCTTGAAGTTTACTTTCTAATATCGTAAGAATCAGCTCAATCGAAAATTGGGGTAAAAATTTATAACCAAAATATTAAGGTAGTGTCAAATTCCTTCCTACTTGAATTTTTTTCGAAATACTTTTTAACTTCAAAATACTTCCAAACATCTAATATAACACATATCATCTCTCTTAATGTTTTTTGACCTCCCGAATTCAATGGTAGCCTTTTTTTGACCTAAAAGTATTTAGAAATTTACCTAACCACCTTTTTCAAGCGTAAACGCTTCTGAAACTAAATTTGACCCAAAAGTTAATACGCGCGACAATCAAACTTCATGATCAATCTTTCAACAATGATTCAAAATTTCTACTATCATTTTATTCATCTTAGGAGAACTCTTAAAATGATATTATTATTATTTAATTATACTACAGGGTCTTACAATCATCTCCTTCAAGCATCTCACAAAACCTTTATTCACTACACATGAAAATGATCCAAATCAATTCCATTCCGTTGTACAAACCAACTCGTCATTTAGACCTTCAAAACTAATACGAAAACATTATTGGTCAATCTTAATCTTCATCTAAATTTCATTATAAAAATTTTCACCTTAATGTGAGCCCCTTTTAAAACCCTCATCGCAGTCTATCTTATATACTTCTTCTTTTGCCTCAACTATATTTGTCCTGTGTTATTATTGCAGAAATGAAGATCCTTTGCTGGCCATTTTCCAGCTCCATGCTCTTTCTTTGGCAGTTCTCAGGGAGGCTGTGTATCCAAATTGTAATTTTAAACCACCTAAAACAGAGAAGTTTGTACTTGGAAATGATTATTTACGTATTTGGTCTGAACATGTTAATTGAGGACAAGTTTTTCCATTTCCACATGTCTATAGTGATTCTTATTCTCCTTTTTATTTTGTGCTTTTATAGTCCTGTATATGTTTAACTTATAGTTCTCTTGTTTCTCTCAGTCAAGTAATCTATATGTGGATCTGAATTTCCGTGCTATTAATTACTCGGCTGAAGTATATTTAAATGGGCACAAGAAGGTCCTGCCAAAGGGAATGTTTCGAAGACATTCTCTTGACGTCACCGACATTCTGCATGCTGATCATCAAAATTTGCTTGCAGTTCTTGTTCACCCTCCTGATCATCCTGGGAGGATTCCTCCTGAGGGAGGCCAAGGCGGTGATCATGAGGTATGTATTTCCCTTAAACCCAACTATTATTTTCCCCTGTATATTTAGTAGATTACCAGAACCATATCAAAATTGTTGGATCTCATTGAAGAAAAAGGATAAAGGAAAGGGGGGGGGGGGGGGGAGAAAGACAACATCAAGGAAATTAATCTTCAAAGTAAAATATCTTGAAGAATATGGGAAAGTAGTAGTTTTGTTATTACTGGTATACTCGCAAGATAATTAAAACACCCAGTGTTGTGCCTCAAGATCCGTCATATTGCAAGCCGTTGTGATTTGTGATGGCCTATACAATATATTGGGTCAAATTAAGGTTTAAATCATTATTTACAAATTTCCATAGTTCATAGAGGTGAAATAATTAGGGAGTGTAATTGTAAGTGAAGAAATTGCGACTCATAATTTTAACTAAAAATTCGGAAACGAAAATCCTCATGTATTGGTTGGTCTATTACCTTGCAAAGGGGGATACCAACTATTACCATCCCCAATGTTGATGGCATAGAAACAAGATCTCCCTTCAATGAAATTGTATCGGTATCACAATGGGAGAAATCTGTATCTTGAATCTCGATAACCTTCACACTTTGTTCCACACAAAAGGATTGTGATGAAGAAAGCGTAAGACTTGGTGATGAAAAAGTAGCAGGCCCCACTTTTGTTTTACTGCGTTTGTAGTAACACCTTTATACAGAATTTCTTACCAAGAAGTGTTACTCCCTTCCAATTCTTCAATAAAGCCTATACGGAATCAAAGAAACCAAAGAAATTGTTTCGTGCCACGCCGATTTCGAACCAGAAGAGTGAAACTCCACCAAATTTTCTTCCCTCCCCAGCAAACTCTTATCTCTCTCTTCACTCCACTTCTCTATCTCTATCTCTCTCTGGAACTCAAGTTAACACACACATATGTACATACATATATATATATATATACACACATAACAAAAGAAAAGCTAAAGAAGAGACGAGTGTGCTTCCTGACTCACTCATTCTTTGCACCCATTTATACGTAGGTCCCCCTTAGTTTTATTCGTTTACACAACCACCACTTAATTTCCAATCATATACCAATTTTGCCCCTAAACTCTTTTCCCTTTTACAATTTGACACCCAAACACAATCTTTATTACAAGATTCAACCTTTGAGATTTATAATTCAAAATATTCCCTAACTCTCATAGTTCCAATAATTGTAATTTAACCCCCAAATTCATTATCATAAATTACACATTGGCCCCAAACATTTATAAAATTTTATGCATTCGCAAGTTCGGATCTCACACCTTTTATTTTTAAAATTAATAAGAATTATATATAATTTATTTTTCTCACTTTTTGAGATCCAAAAGTAATAATTAAGTTTTTATATTCACGTGTTGCTACCATATATTTTTTAATTCATAGGATTGCTGATTCACTTAATTTTTTTTGTGACATAGATGATAAAGATTTTCATGTTCTTCAAACTTTTTTCTTTGTTTTACGCCATGATTGTCATATTACATGTTTGATTATAATAGTGAATATTTTTATTGTTATTTTGTTGTATAGTTTCATTATCTTCTAATTCATTGAAGGTTATTTAAAAAAAAATTCTTAAACTTTTTGTTACTAGTTATAAATTTATGAAAAGATCCTATTGAATAGGATCGAGCTGCGAAGCCTAGTAGCATTATGTTTCTTAAATCTTACCAAGGTTTTGGAAAAGTAATACGATATACATCGTTTAATAATTAACATACATATGTAGAATTTTTGAAAATACAATAGAAATCATGAGTATGCATGTCCTTTCCAAAACAGTATAAATGCACAAGCTCAACAAATCTACATCTATTTATAATTGATCTTGATTGAGTTTTCATATTTTATATCAAAATGGGAAAGCTATCAAAAAAAAAAAAAATTCAAGAAGTAAGTGTAATAGTACCACTGCAATCCAATGGAAACAAATCCATCATTAGTTGTAGAAAAATAGAGACGAATTGTAGGTTAATTGTAAACAATTTTACCTTCAAATTTGATTTTAGAACAAAAAATACACACATATTTGCAAATCAAAACAAATTTTAAGGGTGGACACAATAAACTATATCTAAAATTTATGTATATAAAATTAAGGAAAAAAATTGAGAGTGGGCCAGGCCCCTATTACCCCTACATAGATACACCCTTGCCTCCTCTAGGTTGTGCATTTGATTCCTTGTGTGTAATCGAGTGGAAAGATCATTCACGTGAAATGTTATTCTCTAGGAAGAGTAAGTCAAAATCTGAAGGTACACAAATTATTGAAAAAGAATTAAAGAACTTTGATAAAGCATTGTAGGAGAGGATTGCAAAGCCAATCTCGAGTGCGAGTTTTCTCTACTGGGGTGGGTGGGTGGTATAATGTAGCCAGAAAGCATAGGAATCGTGGTGGAATTTTTCCATTGAACTTTCATTAATGGAGGACAAGTTCCCATAGTCGAGGTGTAATTCTGAGAAAGAAGATACTGATTTCAATGTTGTATTAGTTGCATCTACCTATAGTCCCTAGTAATCTTTATACTATTATGGGAGTGAGGGGGTGGAGTATTTAGACTTCTAAAATTTTTACTGTGAAAGTGCTTTGAGCCTCCATGGATGAGTGATTCTCCAATTATCTTTCCTTGTTTGTATGATTTTTGTGTAATCTTCTCTTTCCTAATATCAACCCAAGTTTTGTATTCCCAAAAAAGGCTTGGATCATAAGAAATGAGGAGAAATAAATATGGGTAGTGAGCCTTGAGATTTAGACGAGAGAATTCAATTAGTGTAGTGGTTGGGCTTCACCCTAGCTACCAGACCAATTGAAGCGGGTAAGGCAAGTCCCCAAAACCAGCTTAAGTGTGTTGAGGGAGGGGCGAGGTTAGTATTATTGTTCCATGTGCTGCACCCCACATTATGAGGAAACATTCCTGGACTATTTATGTGCTTTCTCCACCTAAATTGTAAAGAGGCCTTTTCTTGGTGAGGGGCAACTTATAGCGGACAATATCTTGACAGTAGGGTGGGATGTTACAAAATGTTATCAAAGTGGGACATCCTTCATGGTGTTGGATTGGGTCCTACACAAGGACTTGTGGTCTTTTAGGGGTAGATTGTAGTGGTTGGGTGCCACCTTAGCCAACAGACCAACTGAAGTGTGGTGAGGCGAGTTCCAACAGCCAGCTTAAGTATGGTGTGGGTGGCGCGAGGTTGGTGCTACTGATCCTTATGATGCATCCCACATCGCTTTTGAAGTGGTAGATTGGGTGTAGACCTAACTTTGACATTATTTGCACAAAGTGCCTGTTCTCAAGTTCGAACTTCCGTATCCGCATCCTAGTTTTTAAGATTGTGTCATAGTGGCTCATTGTCTATCCATTTCTGTGCTCCATACAAGATAAATTTATCATAACCATCTTAAGTACATGCAAGTGAGGTGAGGTCAATTATCAGGTTTATTTCCTATACCTACTTAAATGATGGAGAAATCTAGAGAGAGATTTAGGAAACATAATGCATAGATTGTATGCCTTGATAAGAGGAAAATACCATTCAACCCATTTAGCAAGTATATTGGACGCATTCCAAGGTAGAAAAAAATAATGCTTACTTATGAAACTTTTGGTAATTTGGTGGTAGTTCCTTAGAAATCCCTTCCCACCCGGAAAGGAATAAATAAAACCCGTGTCAGACACAAAAGGGCCTTGGCGATTTCAAAAAGGCTCCACCGTTTTTTTCAAACAGAATTTCAATTTGTAAATAAGTTTCTGAGGATGGTTAATCCAATCTATTGATTTCTATCAAATGTCATCTAGTGGAATCAAAGGTGTCGTAGGTTTTTTCAATTCTATTGTATCATTGATCTTATAATAAAATTTGTCTGCTAGAGTAAAAGTATATTCTCAAGTCGTTCAATTGCTTGGTCTCCACCGGTTAAAAATAATAACCTATTTGTCTAATTCTGTGAGGAGAAGATTCTTTGTTCAATATATGTGGTTCTGTTAAAAGTAAGTGCCCAAGACTTGAAGAACTATTAGCTCCCAGAGAGAGAAGGTGCACTCACTTGCAAGGTTTATCTGGGCTGTGAAAAACCCTTCATACATAGTTGTTATGGTAAATAATGTATTTTTGCAAGGAATACAAGTTTGGTAGAGATTGCAGGGAGCAATACATAAAAACGAAATTGTAGTGGAAATGAATCTATCTGATGTCATTACGATCGAAAATTGGTCCTTGCATTGGTAATTTATGAATTGACAGGACATACTTTAGTGGAACCAATGGTGTCCCTCTGCCAACAACATAGTTTATATAAGTAGAATGGAGAGGATGTAAATGATGGGAACAATTGAGATCAGAGGTTTTTAGTAAGACACTAGCTCTAATGTGAAACTGAGTATTGGTGACCAAGCATACACGCGTGTGATTTTTTTGTCTTGGATTGATGATCTCCAAAAATTGATGTTGAAGAGATATCTTCCGTGGTTGATGCCAAAAAATGCTCATGAGCTGCTGTATAACAGTTATATACTCATCACTCTAAAGGGAGTTTTATGAGATGGCTTTAGGCTCTTTGTAATACATTTTGTTAGGTAGTGGTTAACTCTTTAATGAAATTATTGTAGCTAAAGAGATAAGTTGACTTGTTTGAGAAGACCATGCAAAAAGAGTGAGCCATATCTGTTTAGAAGATAGAAGAAGCACCAGAGGAGAGCCAGCTGAGATGGTCTGGTTATGTGAAGCAACAACCAGTATTATCCTGCTATGGAGTGATCACATTCAAAATCATTAGGACTTTGTTAAGGCCAAAATGAGCATGGCTTTAGACTAAGAGAATATAATGACACTCCGTTGAGAGATGAGCAGAATAATCGAAAGGCTATATGTGGTGAAATCCTAGTTTGTCGGATAAAGCTTCATTGATCAAATTTTAAGAATGAGAACAAAAAAATTTGTATTGTTTCCATCTTTTTGAATGATATTTGAGTTCGTCGAAATTACTTACCTATATGAAAAACGATTTGTAGTTTTTTACTGAT